TAAGGTGTATATTATACGTTATAGTTGGGGACCTATTAGGTCAGCCAAAAATTAAATTTATATATTTTCATAATTCTATAATATTTATGATTTTCCTGACGGTACTTGCTGTTCCTAACAATATTGCTTGTTGCATTTTTTTGATTGTCCTAGATGGTAGGTCCAGTTACCGCAAAGAATACAGGGATTCCTCTGGTATTAGTCCGTGACATGAGATCACAATTAGCAGAATTCGAGTTTCTTTAAACGATACAACTGTGTTATTCTACGCACTTTCTCTTTTTTTCGCTACTACCTTGTGCAGGTTATGATCAGAAGGAATGGCAATCTATGATAAATTCAGATTGCTTACTTTTATCTATTATATTGACGTCATGCCTATTTTGGGAGGTGGTGTGATTTGTCAGGATTGGTTGATCCCAGAGCACTTTGGCATTGCGCATGGTTCTGGGTGATCTTTGTAATACGGACAAGATTTATGTCTTAGAACATGGAACTCGTAGTTCCATGTTCTGAGACATAGCTTGGTGATCTACATTGTTGGTGTCTCGGCAAGTATCCCGATGTTACATGTTGAATTGATTCAACTGCCTTTTTGTATAAGCGATATTAGTCATTGATGCCCTCTCCAGATATATTTCCTCTGTACGTTTTTGTTGTTATTATTTGTTCTTGAATAGCAAGTAAGAAATCTTCTGTTTCTGGAAAGATACTACCACTGTTCAGTCAAGTCAACGAAGCATTAGTGTCCTCTCCTGCATCAATTAATGAGTGATGAAATTGTCCATGTAAAGGTTTATTTTTCTATATTTCTGATAAGAGTGGCATCATCTGCTCCACTAATCGGGATCCTAGATCTTCGTAAATTCAGAGCTGTAATTTACATTTAATGATGCAATAGTTGAAAAGATATTGGAGGTATGGTTTACGATATAGTTGTGAAGATTAATTTCTTCCTTTCGGCATAAATTCAAGAGGCTAGTTAGATCACGTCCTCTCATCTTCCTAGGAAGATACACTCTCGCTAAGCAGCAATTTGGACGTCTATTCCTTGACAACACCACCAGGATTCTGAGAAATCGATTCAACCTTTCTGAATCCGTTTGTTGTTCTTGTAGATTTGGCAATTCTTATAATCTGTCGGATGTTCCTCCTAGAATAGGGCACAAATTGCAGGATCTTGTATTAGTTTGGTGCACACTGCTGATTAGTGGATTTTATGGAATTCACTGTTGTATCCGGAATCAAGCCATTTGCAGAGATGACCAACGGCAAAACCCTCACTTTATCAAGTTTATACAATTGTTTGAGCTCCTCTCCAAGGTCATGATATTTGCAATTTGTTTCGGCAATCACCTTGTAAAGATTATCATCCGATGGCAACCCTATTCGACAATTTTTGCATGGCTCTCATCCTTCTAAACGAACAAAAATCAGACCTTTTGTATGGAATATTATTATTATTATTATTTATTTGTTTAGTTTTCTCAGATTTCTGGAATAACACTCACATCCCAGAAAAAACACTCAATGTAGGGGATGTAGATGAACGTTAAAAAAAAAATTACTTATTTAGAAAATTTCCAAAAATCTTGCACGTATTGAGCAGGACAGTATTTTGTGTTGGTTTTAAGTCCAAGTTCTTGGGTACCATCTACTGTGCTTTTCTATATTAAACCATTAGGAGATATGATGATTGGAGTGATCTTCACCTTTTCTTAGTGATGTAGCGTTTTGAACTCAAAGGCAAGTTCTTGATATTTTCTAATTTTTTCGACCCTGGTGATTACCATGTTGGTATCATAGAGTACTTCTATGTCTATGATTTTCAAGTTTTATTTATTTTGGTTGTAACCAAGATATCCGGACGGTTATGCAATCCCATATGGTCCGTTATTATGTTTTGATCCCAGTAAACTTTTATATTTCTATTTTCTTTAAGTTTTATTGGGGCATAGTGGTAGCAGGATACCTTATCACTCAACAGTAGTCCGAATTTTCGCATATACTTTGGTTATATATTTTTGCCACATTATTATGCCTCATGAAGTATTCCGCCCCTGCCAGACATAATGGATAGATTCATGCCTCTTAGAGTAAAGCCAACAATTATCTGTGGCCAGATTTTCTTTTAATATATGTTTCCAATAGGTTCTAATTGCGATAACCTGTTCATGTATAGCTATAAAAATATATTTGTCCTATCTTTATCTATTCGACTGAGAACTCATTGTCAATGTTCGCCACATATAATGGATGCTAAAATGTCGAGTGTAATTCCTTCTCCTTGCATATGTTTTTTTAATAGTCGACATTCATCTCTTCTGGTCGAATCAGATCGCCGAAATTCTGGTCAGTGAGCTTTATCTAATTCTTTCATTCAGATGATGATTGGATACTGATTATTCATAAAGTATTCCTTTAGAGAGTTTTATTGTTTTCGACAAGAGTCCTCGATCGAAATAAGGCCACAGCCTCCTTCTTTTCTTGGCAAATAATGTCTTGCCGTGCATGTGTTTGGGTGATGAGTCTTGGCATCTGTCATCATTGTACCCACTAGACCTTCCATTTCTTGAAGTTTGGTAGTTGACCATTTTTTTTTTACTGTATGCTACCAAAGATATCGCCCACGTACTGATGGCATGGATTTTATTTTTACCATTCAGATGACTTCTGAGAATCCGAATCAGCCTTATCTTGAATTTGGTAGTTATTTCACTAAAAGTACCTCTTTCTTGCCTATCTTAATAGCCTGCTTAATACCTAGGTATTTATAAAATTCTCCAGCAGACTAGTGTCTCATGAACTCTTCTGACGGAAGCTGCAAGGAACTGCTGTCCTTAATTTTCACTTTGGTAACATTGAGTATGGCGCACTTTTCGAGACCGACATACAATGAATACTGAACGTTAACACAAGTTCCATCATACATTGTAGCTGGTTCTTATTTTTTGCATATAACTTGAGGTCGTCTACATACAAACTGTGGCTAATGGTGGATCTCTGGTCACCTATTTTCAATTGATATCCAAGATTTCTGCTTCGAAGGATATGACTTAATGGTGCTATACGCATTAATGGTGCTAGAGCTGAGCAAAACATTGTGGGCTCAGCAAATCTTTCTACTAAATTTTCAACAAATATCTATTGTTTCAGTGTTATAACCATCGTGGCCTCTACCTACTATCATTCTAGTGTTTCATGATGCTATAAGCTTTCTTAGAAAGTTTATTATACCTGGTTCAATATTTTATATAATTCTAGAACTTCAAGTAGCCAACTGTGTTTCTTTGGTGCTACTTCTATCACTAAACGTATTTGGCCATTCGATTAGATCAGACATAGAGTACTACCCCTTTTAATTTAATATTTAATTAATTGTTAAAGGCCGTAGAGCTCTTTATTTGATAAGTTTAAGCACAAAGGTGTCCTACTGCCAAATGTTTGTGTTCAAAATCTAAAATTTTAACTTCAGTTTTATATTTCTTATATCAATCAGTGAATTTGTCATAGTGTCTGTCTATAGTCAAATAAAATTGACAAACATATTATTTACAAGGGTTTATCTCATTTTCATGGAATATTCAGACATAATATGGGTAGGTACCATATCAATTTCATCAAAGTCCGTCCAATACCGTCGTTCAAGCAGGCATAAATGTATGTTAACAGGCACACATATATTTCAAAAATGGCTTTTTTGATTAGAAAAAAGTTTGAGCAAAGTTTAAGATTGATTAAAAAAATATTCGTGTATCAATTTTATCGAATTCCATCAACTACTTTCATTTACATATCCACAAACGTATTGTCAAATTCATATGACAGGCAGTTCGCCTACTACTGTTTTTTTTTTTTGTTTTTTTTGTTATTGTCATAAATTATTTATTGGGAAATATTACAATCTGTCACAATTAAGGCCATGTATAATAGTGTTACAGATTATGTACCTACAATCAATAAAAATAAATTAAACTGAAAAATAATAACACTAAAAGTAAATGTATATAAAAAGAAGTAACTAAACTAATCACAGTATTAACTTAAATACAATTTACCACCAATCTATCAATTTTATCAAATTTACCATCACTTTCTTTTCCGGTTGCGCAGATGTATTATGACAGGCCTATATATCAAGAATGGTTTGTTCGACCAAGGCCTAATTTAGTGGAATGCTAGGAACCAGTGAAATAACTCAGCATTTTAAAAAATACCAATCATTATCTTAAGGTTTATATTCGATAAGGATTTTATTAGATCCTGAATAAAAAATAATTGTTAAAAATATAATGACTGTGAAATGAATTTGGTAGTGAACATATGACGTTAGGGGGGTCATATTGTTTTTTAAACTTAACGTCATTCATTTGTCTTGATTTTATTGTGATATTCTATTTAGTTTTAAATAAAATTATAATCGTACTGAATTTTATAAGTATGTGCTTTTTTAAATATGTACCGAATACAAATTTTGAGAAAGGTATACAGATTTTGTTTTTAGAGGAAGGAGATGGTTCGGGAAGGCGGGTATAAAATAGTGAAAAAACTGTACAACGAAAAACGAACTATAAACTATACAAGAAAACATCAGCTTGAAATAGAATAGTTTTTTTCTCTATTTTAGTCTATCTCGGATGGCCAGATGACCAACGACTGGCATAAAAGAAAAAAAAAACTATTTTAGTATTTTTATGACCGCCACCCTGGACCATGTCCTTCTTCTAAAATATACAATGGTCAACCAAGTATTCAAGATTTTTTTTTTCAATTACCACATGCATGCAAAGTATGCAATAGCTCGCTCCTTAGTATCATTATGGTGTACCAAAAGAATATATATATATATAATATAAGTGTCAACCTAAATTATAAGGTAGCTTTCATCTTTCTTAGCTCCTTGATTTTATTCTAATTAATTTCATTACGTTTCATCCTAATTATGGTGTCATATTTTGTAAATAATAAATGAAAGTATGACAAATATTGTCGCCTGCATAATGAATTATCCATTTCAGATTGTAAATGCGAAGGCCTATGAAGAAATAATAAGTAAGGCTAATTGCCCGCATTTTGAAGGATGTGATGTGTCAGATAATCCAACATGTGGCAGAGCTTACTACAATGGCAAACCTATACCTTACAGTGAGGTAACTTGAAAACATGTGCATATTTAATTAGTATTTACATTTTTATGGAACGTTCAAGCGAGACACGAAAGAGGAAGTACTTTCAGTACCATATGACTGAAAGCAATTTTCTTAATAACTATAATAACTTTCTTAACCAATAGTAGATTGAATTTATTCTTTATATTTAAAAAAAAGTAATTTTATAATTTTCCCTCACAAATAGTGAAAATAATAGAAAAGGTATTCAGCACCACCTTAATCATATAAATATAACAAATTCATCACATCTTCTTTAGTTTAATAAAATATCCTAAAAAAATTCATCAACTTCAAATATGCACTATACAAAAACTAAAAAAAATATACAATGCTTCTCATTGAAGATAAGATGCACATCTTTTTAATAATTAATGGTGGAACAAATACAAATTATATTATTTTTTTTATTTTTTTTTAGGGGTTCTGTTGTTCTTGCGACGAAGCAGTGAATACCAAAAGGCAACCCGTAAGGTTTAGGAGTATCGCACCGAAAGCAGAGATTTCATCTTTGTCAATGGCAGGACTAATGCCGCAGTCAAGAAACCCACACAAACGACGGAAGAGACCCAAGAAATCAATTCCAGAAGGAGAAAATTCATATAAGTCGGAACTCAAAGTATCATCAGTCAAGAACAATGTCACATCGCAGGTAGGCCTAAATGATTCAGCATCCGTAAAAATGGCAAGAAACATCTCGATAACTAATGGAACTAATGTAAATGCTACGTCGCCGATAAATGTAGCAGTTGATAATAAAAATGAAGTTACCAAGACAAATAAAGAAACATATTTGAATTACCCCGATAAAGTTGACAAACATTGTAAATTAAACTCGTTGGTGGCCCACGCAAACAGTACTAATGATACAATAACGATTGAAATGGAACACAAAATCATCAATGATCCATCCGTGCCAATTATTTTATTTGCAAATGATCGAGATTCTTTAATTCGTCTACAGGATGCAGTAGAAAGGAAACTCAACGAAACACGTAGTGTGCTAAATGAGCCCAGTCGAGTAAGGAACAAGCGTAAGGGTGACGAGAACCCAGATTTCCTGTTAATCGCAGCAGTTGATAATAAGAATGAAGTTAACAAGACAAATAAAGAAATATATTTGAATTCCCTCGATAAAGGTTACAAACATTGTAAATTAAACTCATCGGTGGCCCACGCAAACAGTACTAATGATACAATAACGATTGAAATGGAACACAAAATCATCAATGATCCATCCGTGCCAATTATTTTATTTGCGAATGATCGAGATTCTTTAATTCGTCTACAGGATGCAGTAGAAAGGAAACTGAACGAAACACGTACTGTGCTAAATGAGCCCGGTCGAGTAAGGAACAAGCGTAAAGGTGACGAGAACCCAGATTTCCTGTTAATTGCAGCAGTTGATAATAAGAATGAAGTTAACAAGACAAATAAAGAAATATATTTGAATTCCCTCGATAAAGGTTACAAACATTGTAAATTAAACTCGTCGGTGGCCCACGCAAACAGTACTAATGATACCATAACGATTGAAATGGAACACGGAATTATCAATGATCCATCCGTGCCAATTATTTTATTTGCGAATGATCGAGATTCTTTAATTCGTCTTCAGGATGCAGTAGAAAGGAAACTCAACGAAACACGTATTGTGCAAAAAGAGAACAGTCGAGTAAGGAACAAGCGTAAGGGTAACGAGAGCCATGATGAAAAATTGCATCACCTGATATATGAAAATGTTTCGAAAACGGAAGTAATAGAAAACGCGATTGACCGTGAATTTCCTATTCAACCTGAAAAATATTACATTTTCCCACCATTTTATTGTCCAAAGGGTTTTTCATTAGATGAAGCCAGGGGTTCTCTTAAATTAAATCCATTTAACGGATATCTTGAGCATAGAGTCCATAAGACCCGGCTACCGTTTAGATACTTCCATCAGATAAGACGAAATGTGAATGGTGACCAATTGAGAAATCGAAGGAATAAAAGATTTAACATTTTCAAGCATATAAAAAACCATTTCCAGGCTGTACCTTTAAAAAACAATGCCACTCTTAAAACAGAACTGGACCCAACGCAACAGGAAAATTTAAGGAAATACTATGCATTATTTCCGGTACCAGATGGAAGTAAAGGTTACGATATTAACAAGCACCCATTAGATGCCAATGAGAAACACGCGGATCTTATAAATGAATGGCCAAATATGAATTCCTTAAAACCAACAAAAGAGAAACTGATATCAACATTAAATGGCATCCGAGGCAATGATCAAATTATTAATATTGGACATTTGTTTGGAGAAAATAGCACCAGAGGATTTGACAAGCATTTACAAAGCCATGAAGTAATACCGACATTGACCACAAGAGGAAATGAATCTATTCCTTGTAGTCAGCTTATATTGTCATCCATCAGTGGTAATAACACGGAATTACATTCGTCAAGTCCTATAAATTCCTACCTGAATCCAGGTAAGTATCATTAATTTGTAGAACATTAGATTATGATAAGCTTTGAGTATTTTATAATCCTTTGAAGGATTATTTACCATTTCATAGTTTTATCTAATAGACTTCAATAATGACACCACATGTTTGATTTAATTTTACTTTCATTATTATCTTTGCCGTGTTCGAATAAAGTAAATTTGTTTTTTGCGTTCATTGAATACTTATTCAAATGACGATTTCCAATAGTTTTAACCCGCTGAAACTTAACTGGTGGCGAAACCCGGGACAACGATTGGGCGCTGGTCCGTTTTTTTGTGGCCAGGTGAGAACATTTTAGAAGATGCATGACGGAGTGTTGAGTCTACCAGTCCTGGTACGTTCAGGACATTTCTCCACCACCCCAAGAAACTTTGGCGGCAGCACATTCGAACGCGCTGGAGTGGATGAAGATTAGGACGGCGACTTTCAAAGACCTGAGGAAGGCGATATCAGACCTCGAGCTCTACACAGGAGAAATGGGTGATTTAAACCATTTTCTTAAAGGTGGTGATCGGATTATTGCTAGAAGAGACGCACAAATAGCAGAAAATTTGATCAATGCTGGAGATGCAAAGGCACTTAACGCGTTCGTAGTATGTAGAGTAAAAAGAAATATACTCAATTACATCCAAGCGAACGAAGAAACACCGTGGGCGCTGATAAAGGAAGACTGATAAAAGCGTACCGAGGCGGTAGATGGACCACGGAAGAAGATATCTTCTAAATGTTTCGTGAGGTAAAATCACAACAACAAACAAACGGATAATATGCTGGAACACTTCTAGCCCGGTACAACCAGATAACTGAAGAGATGAGAGAAACTGAGTGTGGTCGAGGTAGAGGCAAAGATGGCCTTCTTATCTACCATCCTGAAGGTATAACTCGCAAAGAAAACCGGAAGAAGAGAAAGTCTACCAAGAGAACGTTCATTTGCGGAATGTGCACAGGAGATAGTCGATTCCAGCACAAGAGAAGAGGAAACTGGGTGGAGTAGGGTAACCTATAAACGTACCAAAAACACGCCACAGTCAACTTGGAATAAGAAGGAGCATGTGTCCAGCGGTAGGGAAAGAATGGTGTTAGAACGAAGGCCGGAGCAAATCAGACCGAAGAACATTATGAGAAGAGAGGACGGAAAATGTCACGGATGCGGAAAAAGCGGACACTTAGTGGCACAGTGTCCCCGTAGCAGGTGCTTCAAGTGTGGGACGGAGGGCCACATTGCGAGGCAATGCCCCTACATGTACTCAAGAAGTGAAGCACCCAGAGTGGAAACAATCGAGATAAACTCCCAGAAGATTCGGAGGAGAAACATTTCACCAAGGAGGAGCGGATCGTCGAGGGAATCGGCGGTGGAACCTATAACCTTGGAGCCTGAGGAGGAGTTGGCCCAACCTGAAGGACGAGAAGGCGAGGGCTACAAAGCTGGAAGAAGTAGCAGAAAAAGAAGACGGTTGTGAGCAGAAGAGATAATTTGAGGTGAGTATCGGGTGAGGGGCGACCGCACGCTTGTCAGTAATAGCATAAAGAGTAAAGAGTATAATGGAGTAAAGTTGCCTATAATAGAAATGAGAGGGGGAGTGAGTTGCCTGGTTGACACTGAGAGTTCCAACACCATCATGACCCGGGAAGCGCTGGAGGCGGAGGGAGGACATTCCAGATATAGGCATGCATTTGTAAACTAATTACTCTGGGTGGCATGTGTAGAGTAGAAGAGGAAGTTGAGATAGGGTTGACTAGGTGGGCAGCTAGTGGAGGTACTTTAGGAGTGCATATTGTGAGGAATATGCCCCGAGAATACCAGGCGATTATAGGGTGCGACATACTGGAGAAGGTGGGCGCTCGTATCAAAAATATATGTGGAAAATGGAGTATAAGAATAGGGAAAATCGTTTATAGGTGCAGAACGTTTTTAGAAGACAGCAGGACACGTATAGGAGGCATAAGTCGAACCGAAGATTGGAGAATAGCCGTCAAGAGAGAGTTTGAGGATATATTCTACAAGGAGGGGGATATATTAGGGACAACGGGGAGAGCAGTACGCGAGATCCCGCTAAAGCAAGAAAAGGTGAACTACGTGAAAGAGAGAAGATATCCTCAGGCTCTTCGTCAACATATTAGAGAAGAATTGGTGAGTTTAAAGAAACAAAGGATAATTGTGGACAGCGTCACCTTACAATAGTCCGCTATGGGTAGTAAAGTAGAAGAATGCGCCAGGAGAGAACAAGGAAAAATATTGGATAGTGATAGATTACCGTTATCTTAACGAAAATACGGTAGATGAGAAATATCCGATCCCGAGGTTTGAAGACATCTTAGATAGGTTGAGCGGAGCAACGATATTTAGCACGCTAGACTTAAAGGCAAGATATCACCAAATCAGAATGCATCCGAAAGGTCAATTAAAATCAGCGTTCACATTTGAGAGGGGGCACTATGAATTTGGACTCAAGAATGCTCCAATAACATTCCAGCTACTGATGGACGAATTTCTAAGGGGAATCGATGAAGCGGTGTTAAATTTACATGGACGATTTATTAGTATTTAGCAAAACCGAGACAGGAAATGTGAAACATCTACGGAGTGTTTTCGAGAGAGTGAACCATTTTGGGCTAAAATTGTCTAGCGAGAAGACCCTGTTAGGACAAGACCAGATAAAAGTTTTAGGTCATACTATTTCAAGAGGAGTCAAACCCGATTCCCAGAAGGTGGAAGCGATTGGGAGAATGACGATACCTCGAGACATAAAAGGGATCAGAAGACTATTGGGAACGCTCAATTACTATAGAAGATTTGTTCCTGAAATGGCCGAATACCTTGTGCCACTCAACTTATTGAAAAAAGGAACGAAGGTAATAGTAACACCAGTGATGGAAGATAACATTCGGAAATGTATGGCGCGACTATAAGAAGAACCGGTACTGGCATTTCCAGACTTTACAAAACTATTCACCATTACAACTGATGCTAGTGAATACTCATTGGGGCCGTGTTATCCCAATAAGGAAGTGGTGGCGTATGTTATCCCGTAGCGTATGTCAACAGGCGGCTCACTGAAGCGAAAACAAGATATAGCACCTTAGAAAGAGAACTGTTAGGGATCGTGTGGGCTATCGATCACTTCAGGCCCTATGTCTTTGGGAGAAAGTTCCGTGTTTACACCGACCACAGACCCCTACAGTGGGTGGGTAAGCTAAAAAAATCCTCGGCTCGAGTCACACGCATGGAGTTCTTGAATCAATATAACATGGACATTGTATACAAGCCAGGGAAGGAGAACGAGGTGGCAGATTGGTTGTCAAGAGCTACTACCATAAATGCTATAGAAGAAGTGGAGAGCCGAGAGAAATGGAAGAGCTCGAGGAAATTATCGATAACAAACAGTGCCATTTGGAAAACTAGCACCTCGGGTAAGATGAAAGCTCAGTGCAACAAGTTTGGCAAAAGCAAAGATAACAACCATTTGGTGGCAGCCTGGAGCGAGGGAAGACATGATTTGTAAAGCACTACATAACGTGTCTAAACCGGAGAAAACCTACCACCTCTACGTTGGGAACGCTTCAATCTGGGAAAAAATAAAGAAATTATGGTGGTATGAGGCGTGTCGGATTAGACAGAAAGTTCATCCGTTGCAAATTGGTGGTGGAAACCACCGTTGTCCCTCACTGAGGGACGTAAAACAGCAGAATGAGCTAATATTGGCTTATCACCTGGGAAAAACTAACAACCGCGGGGTGCAAGAGCAGGAGTTGCGCCGAAGATATTTTTGGTGGGGGATGAAAAAACCAATAGCATGAGGTCATAGGGCTTGCGACTTGTGCTTAAGCACAAAATATGATAGACACCCCCCAAGAGGGAGGCAAGAGGAAACACCCACAGCTGATGCACCGCTCAGTAATTTCCAAGTCGATACTTTCACGTGGAGAGGCTATAAATGGGTCACGGTGATAGATCAGTTTAGTAAAGCAGTGATTGCGTACTTGGTGCAGGATCGATCATCAGGGGCAGTAATAGGAGCCCTTCAAATGTGGATCCAGTTTTATGGTGTGCCCGACCGAATATCATCCGATGGGGGTAGAGAATTCGATAACGCTAAGATTAGAGGAGAAATGAAAAATCAGGCGCGCGCAACAAACAACTTTCACTTACCGATCTACTTTGAATATAAATTATTTTCTGGCAATGTTGGGCTATTATAAAATTTTGTGCATTTTAAACGGAGCTAAAGCTTAAAGCTTACAGATAACAAGTAATTAAGACCATTATAATTACAAAATGTCTATTTGATATATCGACGACAGGCAATAAAAATCTGGTCACTCCATCTGCTTTTATAAACCACACAACTTTCTTTGCTTTTATAAACCACAGAATGACTAACTCAAATTTCAATATTTTTGAGTTATATCATTTTAGTGATATTTTTTGTTGAAAAAGTTATCTATGCAGACAACGAGTAAGTTGATTCAGGAGGTGGTGATTGCAGTGTTGAAATATAGAACTGATAATCCTAGCGGATCCAGGATTTAATTTTGGGAGGGCTTCAGCCCGAAAGATTTTTTTTATCATATACATATGACGATTATTAATTTGAAAAAATAATTAAAGAAATTAATTACCTATATGAAATGGTGTTTAAGTGGTTCTTGAAGTACTATTAAATATAATTACGCGTTCAAGAATACTTTAAGAGATAGTTTTTAATATTTTTTTCTGTAAAACATGGTTACATTTTACCATTTTGGAGAGGGGCTTCTGCCCGAAAGACTCCCTCCCACCGTAGATCCGCCTGTGGGTGTAGTGTGGCACCTTAACATCCTAGGGCACCCCAAGAGCAGAGAGAGTATAGAGAGACTGCACAGTAGTCTCAGCGATCACTTAGGGTATATCAGATGGAGAAAGGGCTGGATATGGCAATGCAAAAGGCGGCAGCATATAACCACTATATACATACCGTCACGGGGTTCTCGTCATTTGAGATTATCTTTGGATTAT